AGAAATATTTAAATGAAGTACAAATCCCAAATTTCTATAGCCTCTATATATTTTTCAAATTTTTTTATTTAAAAAAACTTGTTTTGGCGGCTGGCCAGTACAGAGATTGAACCCTAGACCTTGGTGGTGTTAGCACCATGCTCTAACCAACTGAGCTAACCAGCCAGACCTCAACAGCTTCTATAAAACCCTAAGACTTTATAGCTGTCAATGCAGTGTTCTCCCTTTCATTGCCACTCCTCCCTGCCCAACTTATTCCCGAGAATTTATCACCTTTTAACATATGAGTACTGTCAATTTACTCGTTTATTATTTAATCTTATTTATAATTTATGCTGTCTCTCCTGCTCAAATGTAAGCTGCATGAGGGCTGGATCTTTATTTTGTTCACTAATATATCCCAAGAGCCTAAAACTGTCCTTGGCAAATAATAGGTACTCAGTAAATAGTTGTTGAATGAATAAGTAAACTGTGGCCCCAAAAACCATACTTCCCAATTTAAAAACACAGGAAAATCAGCCATCTGAAAAGTTGTTTTCAATAAAGGGAGGAAATCACCAAATCAATTACAAATCACTTATTTTTAAAATTGACCCTTCAGTTTAAACATAAATGTCCAGATCCTGACCTTTAAAACCACCAACGAAGAAAATTCTGTGTGCTTGAAAAGAAATATTGAAGTCCTAAAGAATGAAGATTCTTTCCAAGCTCTTTATATTAAACACTACAACATCATGTTTTCTCTAACTTATCATGAATCTACTAGGCAATTACTGGGCTTGTGTACAAAAATTAAACAAATATTTTAGGACCTGCAATTGGTTGCCAAAGTAGAGTTTCTTTTTTTCATTTTTATCTTTCACTCGGCACTCTAAAAACAATAATTCCCTGTCCCACTGGCAAGTCCACAGCCAAATGGAATAGATGAATATTGTGATGTGGCCAGCAAATTCCCAAAGAGAGATCTCTAGCAGACCGTGGGAAGAGTATCTGTGGGCCAAGGCCCAACTTTTGAGAGATTTCATTTGTCTTGCACATTTTAGAGAGCTTGCCCTGTTCCCCTACCACAGGCAGATACACACACACACACACACACACACACATCTCTTGGGGAAGAAATGAGAAACAATCACTGTGAACAGGAAACAAACATTATAAGGAACAGCCTGTATCTAACAAATATTTATTAAGTACTTCCTGTGTACTTAATAAATAATAAGCATGAGATTAGGGATGAAGGATAACAATCTGGATTGACTTAGTAAGAAGAAAAGTTCAGGAGAAGAGATGTTGTCAGTGACCTGGGCTCTCAGCCCAGTTTTCCCACCACCAAACATGAGGTCAAGGGAAAATTTATGAGAAAATTTCAATGCATTAAGTATTATTCACTTAGAACATCCCAGGTCTTGTGCTAGATCTTTGGGAGAGAGGAGCAAATAAGATATAGCTCTTATTATCAAAGGGCTCCTAGTGTGATAGAAGACATGGAAAATTTATGAGAAAATTTCAATGCATTAAGTATTATTCACTTAGAACATCCCAGGTCTTGTGCTAGATCTTTGGAAGAGAGGAGCAAATAAGATATAGCTCTTATTATCAAAGGGCTCCTAGTGTGATAGAAGACATGAAAAAGGGGATGATAATCCTTTATGGCAAGTGCCGTAATGTAAATACTAGAAGCAGTGGGAGCCAGGAGGAATCAATAAGGCAGCAGTTCTTAACGTGTGCTTTGTAAACTCCTGAGAATCCCCAAGACACTTGCAGCAAATCTGTCAGGTCAAAGCTATTTTCATAATAATACTAAAACATTATTTACCTTTTTCATCATATTGATATGTGCAAAAGCAATGGAGGGTAAAACTACTGGTGCTTTATTTAGCATGAATCAAAGCAGTGTCACCAAACTGTACCAATTAATAGTCATTGTATTCTTCACTGCCATATTTGCAATAAAAATAAAAATAATAAAGCAAAGTCAGTTTCACTTAAGAAGTCTTTGATGAAATAATAAAATATATTAATTTTATTAAATCTTGGTCCTTGAGTACATGTCTTTTTATTTTTATTTTTATTTTTTGGTTGCTGGCTGGTACGGGGATCTGAAACCTTGAACTTTTTAATATTCTATGTGATGAAATGAGAAGTACATATCTGTGCATGCAAAAATTTTTTTATGCACACCTGCATAAAAAAAAAGAAAAATGTAATGATAAATATGATGTAGGAGGTGCTCAGTTTCCCTGGGCTCAGGTTTCAGGACACACCTCTGGGTTTCAAGCCACTCCCTGAGGTCTCAGGCCCTTCCTCTAAGCTCTCCCCTAGAGGAAAGCTGGTGTTGCTAGTTAGACCTATTTTCAGCACCAACGGGGAAAATGAGACCACAAGGGGCTGGGTTATGCAAATCCAGAGCCTGGGCTTGCTCAGGAAAGACAGGTCGTATAACCTGGGCAGCTGAATGCTGTTTCACTAGAGATACTAGAGAATATGCCTGGTGCACGTGATAGGATTTGACCAATGAACGTGCTCCAGAAAGAGACCCATTGAGCATGTATAAGACTTTGTTACATAACTGGAAACCACTCCCTTAATTGAATATTCATTAGGTAGCAGAACTATAAAAGCCGAATCCCAGAAGAAGGCGGGGCTGTTGCTCATTTTCCTGGAAGCAGCCAGTAGGTAACTGGCTGAGGTGTGGCTACTTTTCTTTGTATCAGACTTATTTTCCGCAAGAGGCTGCTCACTCTCTGGAGCCAGCCTGAATTCTGTACTGAGCTTTAAGTATGTATTTCTCACTTTTATGTTAAATTTGGTGTGGGCACTGCTCAGTCTCTAGAGATATGCCACACTCTCTCTGTGGAACCTGTATTTCTTATCTGTTATATTAAATTTATTCTCACTTTGTACTGTGACTCTGCCTTTGAATTCTTTCCTGTGGCGGAATCAAGAACCTGGTAAGACAAGGTGGGGTTAAGGCCGACTATCTGGCTCCCCCTCCCCATCAAATGTGCTAATTATCCTGACTTGATGGACACACATTGTACACAGGTATTAATATTCAACTCCATACCTCACAATTATGTATAATCAATTACGTTTCAATAAAAGAAAGAAAGAATAAAGAAGAGTCATGATGGCGGTCTCCAGGAAAAGCATTTGTGTAATTGAGTTGCAAGTTGGACCATTGCTTTTTTCATGGAACACTATATTTACTTGAAAGAACAACTGACAAACTATAGCTGACAGTTTAACAAAATAAATGAAGTGAGCCAGTCACTTCAAGAACACCAATAACAGTATTTGTTGCCAATGATAATATTTAAACTTTCAAAAAAAATTAAAATTTTAGAAAACTTGTATCTGTCAGCATAAGCTTGCCGGCTTTCCAATATTTAAGGACTTTTCTTTTTCTTTTTTTGGGTGGCTGGCTGGTCCAGGAATCCGCACTGTGATAAAGCTGCAGTCTAACCAACTGAGCTAACTAGCCAGCCCCCCCCACCCTTTTTAAAGGACTTTTCTGATAAGATTGGTGGTGATTTTAACAGATGTGATTTTTTATATTGTATAATGAGTCAATATTGGGAAGATCTGCATAACCCAGTGAACCAATATTTTACAAATGATTAATATATCAAGTTGCAAAATCATGCATCGGTAAAATGTCCATTCAAAGTACAGATATTATAACATAACAGTACAAAATGTTCATTGATAAATTTCAGACTCTACATTGCACCTAACCTTTAACAAACTACCACTTATTGAATTTTGGAGTAGTATCAAAGAATACCTATAATTATCTGAAAAGAGGATTAAAATCTCTCTCTCTTTTCCAACTATCTATGTGAGGTCATATTATCACCATGTAATTCAACAAGAACAATATATCACAGTTGATAGAGAAGACAGCTACAGAAATAAACTAAAAATAAGAGAGAGAGATGGGAGAAGCCAGCTATTTTCTATTAAGCCAGACATTAAAGAGATTTGCAAAAAATCAAATCTCTTAGAGCAATTATTTTATAATTATCTCACAGTTGTGGGAGTTGTCTAGACACAGGTGTTTGGGGGTCTTTCACATAGTGGCAGGCTTTTAAGTGGTCTCCCTCCCTGCTTTCAGGGAGTCTATTATGAACACAGCAACCAGTGATCTTTTTTTTTTTTTTTTTTAAAGATGACCGGTAAGGGGATCTTAACCCTTGACTTGGTGTTGTTAGCACCACGCTCAGCCAGTGAGCGAACCGGCCATCCCTATGTGGGATCCGAACCCGGGGCCTTGGTGTTATCAGCACCGCACTCTCCCGAGTGAGCCACGGGCCGGCCCAACCAGTGATCTTTTAAAACCTTGTCATATCGTGTCCCTCTGCTCAACAATCTCTGATAGCTTCCTATCTCACTCACAGCAAAATTCAAGGTCCTCACAATAGCCTACAAGCCCCATAGGATTTGAATTCTCCACCCTCTTCTCATTGACTCTCTGACCTCTTCTGCTACCATTTACTCTCTCTCTGGCTCCTTCAGCCACACTGGTCTCCTTGCTGTTCTTTGAACATGCAAACTCCCTCAGGGTCTTTGCACTTGATTAGTCCGCTTGGAAGGCTCTTACCCGATACCCGCTTGACTCACTCTCTTCAAGCCATTGTTCAGTGTCATTGTTCGAGTCATTGTCCAAGCCTTTTCAGTGAGGCCTTCATTAACCTCTCCCCCACAGTTTTGAAAGCTAAAGTTGAGGTAAGTGTCCATGTTAGACATCTCACACATAGGAAGCCCTGTCAATCCCTGGCCTGCAAGGGCATTCGGAGATTTTTTTTGACTAGCTAGCCCAAAATTGCGGCTCCCAGTGACCTCTTTTCAAAGTGGTAGTCGGGACCAGGTCCTAGAATGGGAAGTCTCTGAGGGAAGAGAATGTGACTATTTCCTTCTGGGTTCCTGGCACCCTGCACTGGGAGGACCACTTAATAGGCATTGCTGATTGGACGAAAAGGCACAGAAGGCAACGTCCCATGCCCGAGTACGGGACAGGAGATTCGGAAGTACTCCTCCAGGGCCCCGCCCTCGCTCCTCTTCGCGGCTGGTTTCCCCTCTGTCATCTATCGCTCGGCGCTCGTCTCTTCTCCGCGGGTCTGACCAACCCGTCTCATCGAGCTGCTCGGCCATCCTGCGCCTGCGCCATTGAGCTGTCAGACCGAGGCGACGTGGGGAGCACTGCGAGCGGTTGTGGGGCGCCGGGAGCTGAGGTAAAGTTGCGGCTTCTTCTCTGCCAGGCCTGCACGAGCTGGCCGACCTGGGTGAGCAGCGTGGTGGGGGTTGGAGGTTCCCCTTCATCTGAGGGAGGCGGGCTTGTCGAGCCGGGCCGAGGTGGACCCGAGGGGATAGGTGGGGATGCTGAGCCCTGAAGTCGCCAGCTCGAGTCCATGCTCTACCTGGCCATAGAGCCAAGTGTCCGAACTGGAAGGGAGGTTGGAGAGAAGCCGAGCTAACCACCTTGTGCAACAGGTGGAGAAACTGAGTTTCGGGGAGGGGAGGTTTTGCTGGATGTCACAGCGACTGAGCACCTGAGGCGGGACCAAATGCACTTAATATCGTGCCTAAACTCTTTCCATTTCAGCATTTCATTCATTTATTCAGCCTACCTTTAGTTGTTTGGGTGCAGGGCAATGAAATCAAGGAGGAATACAATAAGGCCCCTGCCTTTAGGCAGCGCACAGTGGGGTAACAGACCAATTATGGTACAGTGTTTTATCTACTCACACCTGGAGAAGGCAGTGAGTGTTATGATGTAGACATGTCTCAGATGCCATGAACACCTCCTCTAATGCATGGGAGTCTAGTGAGAGACTCGTTGCCTTGATTCCCATCACCCAGAGTCGTGGCAGTGACATTGAGACATTGACAATCTGCCTGGTGTCATAGTTATGTTCATGATAACTATTCTTGCTTCCTAGGTTGCTTTTCTTCAACCAGAGCCTCACTGAGAGCAGGAACCTCAGATCCTAGTGACGGGTTCTAATGCCCCTCTGCACATGTTTGAGCTTGAGTCTTACAGGGGCTCTTGTGAGGTTCACAAATCCTCATTCCATGAATACTGATTGAGTACCTAACATCTGACTGGGAATACAGTGACGATGAACACGCAGACCACACCTTCAAGGAACTCACTCATAAACAGACTCTTAAATAGACATTTAAGAGACATTAATGTCACTCTTAAATAGACATTTAAACACATATGTGCAGTGAAGCCTGTAGAGGCTGAGATAATTAGTATATGGTAGAGTGCAAGTACCTAAGGGAAAGGAGTCTCTTCTACCAGGGGTGTGGAAAGGGTTAGGAATGGCTTTGTAGGCAAAGTGATTCTTGAGCTGAGTCTTAGAAGTTTAATAGTTGATTACTAGGTACAGGAGAAACGCAACCTAGGAAGCAAGAATAGCAGTGCATAGACCAGAATTATGAAACAGCATGGTTCAGTTGGCACAGGCTTTCCATGATCTAGTCTCTGTCTAATATTAAACACTTATATAGTGCTTGTCATGGATGGACATTATTTTGTGTGCTTTACATAGAATAGCTCATTTAGTCTTAACAGCAACTCTGTGACTTAGAAACTATAAGTATCCCCATCTTATAAAATGAAAAAAACTGGCCATAGAAAAGTTATGTAGCTTGCTTGCCCTAGCTCACACAGCTAATAAATGTAGGGCTAGGATTTAAATCTAGGCAGTCTGGCTCTAGAGTATATGAGCTTAACCCTCTAGGAACTGAGGATGCTGAGAGTTTTAAATGATAGGCCCCTGGGCACACCACCTGTGAGTGGCAGAACCAGAACTCAAACTCAGGTCTTTTAACTCCTGTGTCCAGTGCTTTTTTCATAGTAACATCAGGGCTGTCTGTTTAGCTCACTTGGTTAGAGCATGGTCATTATAACATTGGATATGATGGGAGTTATATAGTGCCAAATTAAATTCCAATCTGAGGCAATGCTTGCTGAAATCAAGATGATCATATCTTTTTTTTTTTTTTTTCCTTTTTGTCTTTTTTCGTGACCGGCAACGGATCGCAACC